GGGCACGTCATGCAGTTAATTTAGGTAATCTTGGGGGAGGTGCTTATTCACGGTAGTATACGATAATCGTTTTTATAGTGCCGACAGCCTTCAACCAAGTCCGTGTTCGTGGAACGCTTGTCGAAGATTTGAAGAGACGTGACATTTGTATGTGGGTGAAACGTTAGAAAATATGATTTCGGTAGTCTTATTAGTAGATCGGACAATAGATACAAATAATATCGTGAAATTTATATTTAATTTAAGGCAGCATATTTGCAAACTGCAGTCATAGATATGGCTGAACGACATAAAAATTCCTATATAAGAAAGTGTCGAATATGATTACGGTAGCCTTAATAATATTGATGAGATTGAACAATAAATAAAACAATATTTATAAAAGTTACAAGTCCATATGCGCGAATTATAAATAATTTGTATTGTTAGATATGATAAGAAATTTACGGTAACAATAACATAGCGTAATTTTAATCCATATTAATATGAAAAAAAAAAACTGAACAATAATTATACAAATAATATTTACAAATCTTGATTTAAGTACGAGACGCATTAAACGTAAAAAATAAGCACAAGCGTTTATTTGAGACAAGTTTATTTTTGATCAAGTCAACGAAAATAATAATATATTCATACTGTACAGTACTGTCTGATATTTAATTACTTTAGGAAAAAAAGAAAAAATGTGGAGGAAAAGGAAACCCATAATTGATAATTGATTGACGTAATAGGTTAAAAAGGAAATATGCAAACCAACTTGCAGTAAATAAATTGAGTGTAAGTAGGCAGAAAATTTTGTATACTATGAAAAAAGGCATATAAATAACGATTTTATTTATTTATTTTTTGAAAATAGGCAGTTGAGCATAGATTATTATAATTGCAAAAAAATGACAAGGCAGAAAATTTAAGCAAAATCTATTATTAATTTGACAAAGAATGGATGCTAATTTTATGTTGACATTATCAGAGATCACATTCCACATGTTTATAGGACACTGGTAATTTCAGCATGACAATATAAATAATCTGAAACATACTAGCTGAATCACCAAACCTTATCTGAAAGAAAATGTTTCCAAAATCTGGACTGGCCCTCCAACAGTCCAGATTTAAATCAACATGAGCAATCATGAAGAAAAACACTAAAAAGAGGATGCCAAAAAATATCAGTAATTTATTAGAACAAGTTATGACTGAAGAATAGAATAGTATCCCTAATAACATCCTAATTAGCATCAATGCATCAGCATTGTGAGCTTAGAGAATGTATTAATTACTATTACTAACTATAATTAATAAAATTTATATATGGTTAGCTTTCAAATAAGTCATTTTCATATAATTTGGATCGTTGATTTCTGGAAAACACGATTTTTTTTCTCTTGTAACACACTGTATTTTCATCTCAACCAACTTTAATGTTATAGTTAGTCATGTTCTGGCATAATATTAATTTAAAATTGTAATTTAAATAAATTTGTATGTAATAATAAGATACAGTCTCTATTTTATGTTTACTTGAGTAAAGGCTCTTTAGCTCAGTAATAGAAGACTCTCCAGCTACCTAAGCTTTGACTATCATAGCTATTCTTGATAAAAATCTATTGTGACAATATTAGGACTCATTAAACGTTATAAAACAAAACGAAACTTCGAATATTAACCTTTCTTCGATCTGTAATAATTGCCGTCCAGTAGAATCGCAAATAGCCAACATCTTTATTTCAGATTTCTCCTTTTTTGCATTCAATAAGTATAAGTTATTCCAACACACCATTAACAAGAGAACCAAGTAGGTCGTGATGGTGGGACTGGATAGCATCATCTATACTCTGGATTCGAGATTTACTCGTCAAGAACTGTCACATCCCACCACTCGAGCGAGATGCCATGATCTATACTCTGGATTCGAGATTTACTCGTCAAGAGCTGCCCTTCCGCCAAAATTAAAAATAAAACCAAACCCTTGAAACCACTGAGACCAGGTGTTATTCAGCACTGTCCAATCGTCTGCAACTAGTGGGTACAAAGAAGTGCATCCCGGTTTACTTTTGAGAAATTGTAAATAAGAAATGGATGGACATGACTCCACGTAGGATGAAAGCACTGCCGTTTAGCTTTTGACCTGTGATATGAAATACCGGAAATAGAAATGCGATGCTCGGCACAATATAAAGTTAGAAAAAGTATAAGTACAACCATGCCCAATAAACTTTTCCATTGATCGTCAGCCATTTTGATGATTATCTTTCCTTTCGTAGGGGTGCGCTAAAACTGGGTCTAAATTACCTTTAAATGTTCAATTTTTTTGTTAAGCATTCGCCCGTAGTATCATAGTAACGTCTTTTTTTTTCTTTTTCCGAGTCAAACGCGAGGTTCTCATATGTTAAGACAAACAAACGTGAAGGAAAAGAACAGCAAAAGTAATGACGAAGCGAGAAGGACGAAAATCAGGGCAACAAGAAAGATAGGAGACCTGCGCGGACTAGGACAACGAGGAAGACGAAAAGGCGACAAGAAGGGTGGCAAACGTCAATCGTGGAGTTGACTGTACCTTTTGAATTGGACATTCCGGCCTCCAAGCGAATATGAGTTTGCACATATTGAGAAGAGATATCATCGCTTCTTGTCCACGTCACCAACCCTCTGTTTTGTTAATTGCTAGTTACATAAATACATCGAAAGACGACGGTAGATTGCATAGGTCATATTGTTGAGGTTGTGAAAACAAAGCTTAACGTTGTGACAATGGGTCTTCGAGAAATTGAATGGTTTTACAAAATATCAGCATATTTGTATTTCGAAGCAGCCAATCCTGGGGTCAGCTGGTTGCCAATGGTGCTTTTACTGAATTTAATTTGCTAAAACTAGGAAAGCATGTGTTTTCGAAATTGCCAAAGAAATTAAATCTTTTTCCTAACTCCGTCTCCTTTGGACAAGAATATTCTTTATCATAATATTCGCTCATTTGTTAGAGATGAATTCAAAGACATAAGTTGTCCCAGACCAATCTGTACTGATAATGAATAAAATATTTTCAGTCAAACGCAAATTTTATTACTTTATTACTTTTCGTTTGCTTCTATTAAATTCTTTATATTTAATATTTTGATGATATTAATATTAAAATATAATATTAATATAGCCCTGTTCGTTTCAAATTTGGTATCAGCCAATCAAAATCAGTGAGAATTGAAATTTCGTGTTCCTCCATTACACATATTATTCCGTTATTTTTCTTTTCACTCCAAGACTTCATGTGTTATTCTTTGCAGAAAAAAACATATTCCGAAAGCCATTAGAATCCCTTCTCGCAATACAACCTTTTATTCTTTACACGTTTTAATAAAACCTTGTGTGGTGGGGATGGAACAAACGGACGTTGGTTCAGACCACGTGATGTTTAATCCGCCAATCAGGGGGCGACACAAATTGGAACGAACAGGGCTATAGCAATGGGGAATTAAAATTGTGGCATTCAATAAAGATGATTTAATTCATCACATTTTAATTAACAAGTCCATAAGTTATGAATGAACACCATTATTACGTCATGAGTAACACTGATCAAGTTTACAGCCACATCACAATCAGCCGCTCATTTATAGAATGTTCACTTTGTCTGGTTTTGTTGCAGCATACCCATTTAGCGTTTTTATCGAAACTTGATGTTTGAAATGAAAATTCAGCGGTTACTGTTTCAAGGCGGTATGATTTTATCCACGTTTGATGATTGCGCTTTCCCACGACAAGAATCGACGGGTTATTTGTAAAATCAGGTAATATGGTCAACAAGTTTGATATGCTTTTACAAAGAAAAAAAAGAAAAAAGTTCTTGGTGAACACAGAAGTTTCAGCATTTAAAGATCTAAACCGAAAGCATTAAACTGACGAATCAAATCAAGCACAAAGGATGGAGCTTAAAATAATAGTGTTACAATACGGTTAATATATAGCTGTAAATGAATATTATTGTTCTCTTTATGCGGACATGTTTTGACAATACATACTTCAATCGAAACAGATATGTAGTGTCCCTTTGTTATTATCGTGCATGCCATGCGTGATCAAGTTGGACTCTTTCTTTCGCAGGATAAACTCAATCTCGTATCGTATTAATAACTACTGTCTTTGTGATAACGTAATCAACGTATCGTACATACAGTAATGCTACTTCATATTGTTTTTACGTGCAGATAGTGAACATCTCCACTGTTATCGTAAAATAATGGAATTTTATTTCGCATGCATTATAAAACCGATATGCTTATATATGGTACCTGTTTATATTATTATATGAAAAAACCCTTTGTGATGTATGACCAAATTGTAAAAATAAACTCATATTTCATTGGACACGAGGCGTTTTATGTCCCTATCGTCTCTTCCCCTTCTTTTCATCAGCACACATGTCCCAATGCATACAATAAATCCATTATTCTTTTCTCTTTTTTCGTTGTCTTTTTACGTTCTTGAATTATTCCCAAATCCTGGATCAGACTGGAGGGACAACAAGACGATGCTTTTCCTTGTGATCAGTTTTTAGTGTCAAACAATACACCAATTGACATACAATTTTGGGATGGTAACACGGCATGTCGAATCAAATATGTACAATAAATATGGTTGTAGATAATGAGTTCTCCTATGCTATTATCGCCAATTGTTGTAACACGGATATTAAGCCGCATAAACCGATACGCAAATGATGTCATATCGAATTATTTCGGTTTGTGTCATAGGATCCGCCCAACAGATCATATAAAAGTCTCTAATATGATCCACACAATCAGTACGCCCATTTTGTAAGAGAAGAGCAAGAAAAAGAGAAAATTTAATAGAGAGCTGGTATCTCACTTTGTAACGCATATCCAAGATCCCATCCTTACCTGTAGACCAGGCAATCCCCCTCTTCAACTAGTATTGAGACCCATTCTACAATACATATATATCCTATTACAAACCCGTCGACACCACTCGTATCCTCAAAAAAAATGTTGAAAAATACGAGACGGCTTTTAATAACAATTCTCCAAGTAGCCTGGGCAGTACTCCTCGTCGCCTATCTCATCGTTAACACAGTCCTCGAAGCAGCTATCACAAAGGCCACATACACTACGACATCATTCGAACAAGCATCAGCTCTCCCTCCTTTAGCATTCAGTCTCTGCAGTGACGACGTCCCCTACTCATTCGAATGCGGTGTCTATGGCAACGTAACCCAAGACTGTTCCAACTTGATACAACAGGTAGACGTCAGTAACAACGATACTTTCAACGGATGGTTTACTAGATGCTACGTATTCCATACCACAGAAGCGCTAGTGCAATCCCCGCCGCCTGTTCCTCCTACGCAATGGACGGCATTCCAATCTCCACTATTTGTCAAATATTCGTTCGCGAATGCTTCGACCATCTCTAAAATGTTTCTAATGATATGGAATCCATTTGACTTGCCCGAGAATGCAACGTCAGGTCAATTGTCAACGTCAACAACACCGCAGATATTGGATCCGTATAGATTGAACGCTATGGATGCTTGTAAAGAGAGAGTATACGAGTTCACTTGGAACAAGTTTGTAGACGCTGATGGGAATGAGAAATGGAACGTTCAATGGGTATCCGAGTTTGGATTATCAACCAACGCATTCGGAACTAGTACCAGTGCGATTGGACTGATACATTTGAAGCCAGGTAAATATCTTTATAGAATACGCTGATCATTCCACATTTTATTATTCCCTTACTTACAAAATATACTTTTTGTCACACAGCAACATTCCAAGTGCAAACGACTCACGAACGTCGATTCTACCCGCCATTTCTCGTCTTTACAAATTTCCTCGTTCTCCTTGCTGCCCTCTACACCTTTTATTACGTCATAGTCGCTGGACGGGGTAAATACCGTACATGGGGATTATTACACACACTTGCCCGCTACTACCCACAGCAACACATACCACCATCCGAGGACACTGAAGCACTCAAGCCAACCGCTCAGGATGTGTTGCCTATATATTTGGATGGGTTAGGTCGAGCCGAGTTTGAAAAGAAATAGGAATGCAGAATTATTATTATTAATAAGCATATTTAATACTAGAATTGCCCATCGTTGGCACGTTATAAAAGGACTTTGTAATATATATTAATATTTGTGGCCATTTTTGATAGACTTTTATTTTATACCAGCTCTTTTATTAATACACTTTTTTCTCTCTTTCTCTGTCATGGACTGCTTTTTTGCTCAATTTGTCCAATTTGTCTCTTCTCTTCTATTCAAATGTGACGTCCGCTTTGTGACTGCACAAGGCGTTTTTTTTTGATCAAATAAACGAACGTGAAACGACAAGGCACAATTTCCACTTATTGTGCCAACTAATCAACTTCCTGGTGATTTTACGTGTCAGTCACATCTGCTATATATCATATATGGGACTATGTATTGCTAATTTTCAGTATGCTTGAACGGTGTCTAGACGGAAAAATATGAATCAAAAGCTTTACATTTAGTAATGGTAAAACAGAAAACTCCCAACGCAATGACTATTCGTGTTCTATGTTGCCCGTTCGTATATTAATTGAACGTTTTCTACTACTGGTAAGTGGATTATCTTGTATCGCGTACTTGCATAACGCGGACTAGGATTCCCGTCGATGCAGTTCAAGACTTGATCCGCGTGGAATTACAACATGGTTCTTTCCATTATTGTTAATATGATATCAAACAAACTCTTCCAACTTGCTCTGCCGTTGAGAGCATTGCATTGGCAAACACTGTATGATACAGAAAATCTCGTTCAGATAATATAAAAAAGAATACGAGTTCAAGCGTGTAAAGACATCAAAAAAGTTTAACTGGCACACTGGAACATCATTTTTATTACAGTTGTATACATCATGCCCACCGTCCTTCCTTATTTTCTCCAGATGGCCATATCATCCAATTCCATTTGAGACCTCCTCTGATCACGACTTCTCTCTCGTCATTTATTGGTTTGCCTGCGAAACAAAAATAAAAAACAAAAGTAAAAGACAATCAACAGTCTCACTTTAAAGAAATATAACTCAATGGAAAATCTTGTTCAATCTATTGTGGCTTGTTCAATATGCACTTTGCTCACATCACTCACCATTCCAATACTGAACTCCAAATGCTCGCCCGTGCTTAATGTTCTGTTTAAATGATCATTTGACGGTTAGCCAAGCAGTCATTATTAACGACTACAGTAGCGTCTTTTTGTTTGATCACTTACCAATGGTTTCAACCGAACTCTTGTAACTTTGAAGTAACAGTCTTCGAAACCCTTTTTAACCCATTTGTCGGGCACCTTATTTACCGCCCCCAACCAACATAGTCAGTTCAGAACACCCGAAGAATCCCATAATTTAGTTCGTCATTAGAACACCATCCACCTACGGACCACCTGCAACCCAACGCCATAGTTAGGGTACACGTTTAGTAACTCGTAGAGATTCTTCTTCGCTCTCGCGCTTCGTATTATCGGGATAGTCTTGGAAGACTTTTCTAATAGCTCTTTGGCTATACTTGTCATTTGTGCGATTAAAATTATTCTATTAATTTTACTATTCAAAATACGGTTGTTGTTCCAATACGATAAATTGAAAATTTTCTGATGTGTGGCTGGAGTTTAAATTCAGTACATGTGATCTCTGAAAATATTATTTTCCTGAACGTCTATGGTATTTTTTATTTCATAAATTTTCTTGCACAATAATATCTTAATAATTTAATTCACTAACATAAAGCTTTAACTTTGAATTTTTAGTTGCTCCAACTCTTTTATCAACGCCGCCTCGTTAGAGATCTTCTGAATCTACGAAAACATATCATATAATGTCAATCAAAGTCATGCTTGTTCCCCTCCTCCCACCTCCCAATAATCTGTTCACCCAACTTACCTGCGTTTGCTCTAATTGATCTCCTCTAGCTAAGCGTTCTTTTAATTCTGTAATTTGCCGGAGCTTCTTCGTAATCGCCTTAATCTTCTTCTCCGCGTCCGTTTGTGCACTTGCAGGAGTTGCCGTAATTGGGCTTACAGTTCCAGTCGAGGGTGCTAAATAGAAAGCAGAGCGAATGGACACATTGGTGAAGACAAATTAAAAGTTGTAAAATGAATTATTCGATCGTAAAAGAAAAAAAATACCGTTGCTACTAGTAACTGCTTCCTCTTGTTCCTCTCTTTTTTTCTTGAATGCGTCACGTTTCTTCTTATTCTTTGCTGCTGATTTACTTGGTGATACTGAGGGAATTAAGTATCAAAAAATCGAATTATAATAAAGATGGGATCCACACTCACTTGAGACATTATAGAACACCACTGGGACCACTTACTCTCACCGGCGCTAGCAGGCTTCTGAGCCTTGTTATTTAATTGAGATCCGCTCGACGTTTCGTCTTCACGCTGAAATTTATTATTTTCCGGTCACTGCAGATTCAACGCAGTCTTCCGAGAGAAAATAACGAAATACCTTGAATATCTGTGGCGTTGCCGTTCCGCGTGCATGTGGAGGTCGGTAAGCACCAACGGGTTTGGCTGGAGCACGATAAACCATGTAAAAGACATGTAGGTGCAGAATGAACCTTATAACAGAATTTACACTTACGTGGAGGTTTAACAGCATTCTGAGTTCCATCGTCAATTGGTTTTGGTGGAGGCGAAAGGGTCGTTCTCATCGGATACAATTCAACAGATGCTGGTCTCCACACAACCTTCAAGAGCAAATTATGCAAGATGAACAAAGTAGCCTGTCCTTTTTTTTTTTCTTGCATTACTCGACACACACACCCCACTCTTTTATATCCAAGTCTATTTTTTCAGCCAATAAATACCTGCCACAACTCATCCACACTTTTCGTGTGCATTAAACCACCGGAATAATGCCATATTTTATATCCGTTGTCCACTCTTAGTCTCGGACTCAATGTCGCTGTCAGGATATGTCTCCCATCCGGCGACCACGTGCATTCTGATGTATCCGGCGCTTCGAATGTGCTAATCTTTTTTAACGTCTGTCGATCCCAAACGTCAACCGTTCCCGAGAGATTACCAAAGCCTGCTATGTAAATGAGTAGAGATGTTCATTGAAGAGGAACAGTAGAGTTAAAGAGGCCAATGATGTGAAAATAAAACTAGTTGATGGAAGCCAAGCTGTGGAAAGTTGTTTTACGAATAAATATGCTATTTGAAACTTGTACAATGACAAGGATATGTCGTCCCTGAGGATTGAACTGTGCAGTGTTTCGCGGATTAATGCCAAATTCATGAACTGGATTCGCACGGTGGTCAAAGAGAGTCACTTTCGCAGGCATGACTTGATCGACAATAATAAAGAAATTAGTAAAGTAAATAAAGTGAGACTTGTAAAAAAGGTCAATAGTTCCAGCATACTAACATCCATAGATTACTATGAATTCCTTCGAGTTAGGACTCCATGTGACGTCGTGGATGGGTCCCTTCTTGTCTATGTGAATAGATGAATGAGTTTCTTAAATGAAAAGACATATCGCAGTAATGATACTATGACATACCGAGGTCCACACGACAATCATAATTGCCGGCTACCGAGAGAAAGTAAAGATTTGTTTCTAAAAGAAAACAGTGAATGAGATATTCCCTACTCAATCTACACGTGATACCTCCAAGTTCGATTCCTTTTCTTACCTCCATAATATGATCTATTGGTCGTGTCAAAGTCAGTTTGCGTCAATACTAATAAATTGGTTCCGAGGGCATTCCATTTCATTTGAATTTTATCAGCTTTGAAAAAAGTCTTGTGTGCCAAGACATTATTAAAGTTCGTTATCGAATATACGCGCACAACTGCTGGGCTCCCCTGTGAAATACCATACGATTAGGCAACGTTTATAATAAAATACCAGACAATCCCCCCCCCCACCCTTTTCTCTAAACCAATAATACCAACTTTTCTCTCGGGGATAAACGCAGCTACTGCTGGGCTTTTACCGGGCGACAATGCGAAATCAGATACGTTTTCCAACCGTAGCTTTGAATGAATGCCTTTTGACAATCTTGTGTTATCATAAAAGTGGATCTCGTTTGTAACCATACGACAAAAGTAAGCCTCGTCTGACGTCCATTGAACATTCCTGTCATAAAAATTCAGTTAGACATATTAAACAATAGACGTGCTGCACATGGTGGCCATGCGGGGGGGGGGAAAGGTTCAAACATCTCACCATTTATTCTGGCTTTTCTGTGTAAAAGATATGAGTTCATTGCCCGTAGCAACGTCCCAAATGACAAGGTTCTTGTGGGGGGAAGCGTCACCTTCGATCTTAACTGAATCGTAGCATCATTGTTAGCGGGGATCGCATTCCCCCAAAAGTTTTTCTCAATGTCATCAAACCTGGTCGTTCCCAAGTAGACAAATATGTTCCCTTTGGTGAGAATCCAATATCAATGACATTCTTTTTATTAATTTCGCCGACAAGCGCACCCGTATCAGCATTGATAATCTTGACACTATAATCGCATAGATAGTTCATCCATCAACAATTCAAATGACCAATCAAATACACTTTTCATCTTGTGATTCTTTTTTTTTTTTACCACTCGTTCGTAGCCCATCCAAAGTAGCCGCCATCCTTACTATACTGTACTGTGCGCACATTTTCATTGATTCTGTCGAGAAAGGTCCAGTTAGATACAACGATAACAAAAGATCGTTTGCTGGACAGTATGAGATCTCACACATTACTCTCGAATATTCTCTGTCGACGAGAGAACGGGATACGACTCTAGTTTGACGCTTCCGGTAGATCGATCTGAGGAGATAAAAGTAACATGTTGAGTATAGACAGAAAAGGTCGAGCCTGTTTGGTACTATACAACTCTAATTGCAAAAGTCCACTGTTCACAATTATTTACATGCAAACTGCGTAGGAGGGGCCATGTTTGATTTCCGAAAAAATAAATCTAAAGAAAATAGCCCTCGTACTTCCCACTTCTCAAAGAAAATTTTTTGCTGGAAAGTATGTAATTAACGAACGGTGATTGGCTGATTACTATCGGCCATTCTAGTGATAAAAAAGACCGGATACCTAAAACCAGGTCCAAAGTGCTCATTCCTGAAAATCCTGCCCCTTTGAGCATATTTGTTTTGTGTAAAGTGACCTTTCCTCCAAAGGCAACCGATACCGACGAGAATGTATGTGCTATATTTTTAAGCGGGTCTGTGTTTTGATTTAAAAATTAGTCAATATCGGCCCTTGCGTGCTGTTCGATATATAAACCGATTTCAGTTTTATTAATACTAATTTTTGGTATGATTGCATCTCGAACGCAATGACAAAAATAAATACAGGAAAGCCACATAGTCTTTTATTATTATTATTTTCTTTTTTTGCAATATCCTGAATTTCCTGTCAATCACGTATGCTAATAATGTTTATACCAATTGGTGCCTTATTCAGTTCTGAGAGGAAAACAATCAACCCAACCATTCCACTTCAAAATAAATTTTGTAATGCACAATGACTTTAGTATAAAAAATACATATATTACAACATCTCGTAATTATCACTAACAGCCGACTCACGTCTCCGTGCTGATAACATCCTCTCATCTATTCCCAAATCTTCTTCTACACAGTCCATATGCAGACTCTCTTGCTCTTCGACATCTTCTCTCGACACATTAACGGTATCATCTTCTGTACTAATAATCTCAGCAAAATCTTTAGGTGTAGATACTCTATTATCTGTAATGTCTTTAATGTCTTCTACAAAGTCCGATTCAATCTCTGACACTGAAGACGATACGTCGCTCAGTCGACGAGATGATGTCCATGCACCAGGAGGCAGGCTTGCGTCCATTACCGTAAAGAAGGGAAATCGTGAATCCATGTCCTAGTATATACAGTCCGGGGAAAACAGTAAGTTATTATTGTCAAAGTGTTTAGTAAAATTGATCGCCAAGATGGAGTTTTACCCTTTCTACTCGATCACAGAAATCATTAAATTCTTGTTCGCTTTGGCAGATAAACCCAAGCAACATGGATGGATCCATTTCAGATATATCCATCGCCCTTACTATTGTTGAATGATAGTCCTATGTATATATCATTAGAGATGTGAGTACTAATTGACATAAACATGGCATGAACGTTCTACTATTGTATTTCTTGAAACCTACCTCGATCGGGCATTCTTGGCAAGCGTCAAGATTGAGTGCCGGTCGAACAAAGTGAGGATCTAAGTATAGCAGCTCGTTGTCTGCGATTAACACAAGGATTATTTCCCAATATTTAGTAATGCTAACTATCTTCTATACGCAATATCCAATAAAGTCATCTCTCGATACCTTGTATAGCAACAAAGTATAATGATCGGCAAGGCCGCCCACCAGCAATTCCAAGAAATTGCGGAAAGGTAAATAATGCCTGTAGAATAAGATGTAATCAATAAGTGAAAAATGGTCTACAATCAAACTGTATGTTTACTATTATACCTTCAAGTTCTGCGAGTAGTTTGCATTAAGTTTATCTGTACCGAGCCTGCGTGCGAGCAAATAATAGTATGTTAAAACGGTTCAATTGGGGAATTTCGTTTCATGTCTTTACTGTAGTCACCTAATCGGTATCATAATAAGCACTGGTTTCCATGTTTTCTGTCCCGTAAATGGATATGTATCCAATTCACCGTATGCTAATGATAATACTTCATTTCGATATATAGAATTATCGGATGCTATATGGATTGCTAACGGACATTCTCTATGCTGAAGAGATAATCGCCTGTATATTCATATTACAACAAAAAACAGTAAGAAAAAGTACGTTTGGGACGAGAAAATATAAAGACGTGACTTACTTTAATGCGTGTGCCACTGTAGAAGGTCCAAACCATTCACCAATTTTTTTGTCTAGTTTCATTCCCATTCTGGCGATATTGTGTATCGAGTAGTATTGTTCAGGATCAGGTCCGTCCAAAAACCAACGAATAATCTAAGAATGAAGAGACAGCATGCTTAATAAATATTAGAGAATGCGCAAGAATAACCGTAGTCAAACAATGACTTACTTTTCGGTATGTCACCACGTCTGCAGGCGGTTGATGATGATGCAATCGCCAACCTTATGAATAACCGAGGCGGACCGATAGAAATGACGTTTTAACTTTTACTCTCGTCAAAAACACACAAACATCCGCATCACGACACTCACACTCACTTACCACGTCCAAGCAACACTATCAGAAATCCCTGTGCCAGTAAACTCTGTCCCGTTCTATGCATACATCCCCAGCCAGTGTCTGACGTATGAAATGCAGGTTCAATCGGCGGAAATTCCTTTCGATAGCAACAATATATCCTTGACTGAAAGTCATATAAAAACTCCATTAACGTATTCTGATTAGGTGACAGCAGTCCAATTGATTCCGGGTAATACAAACTCGTTGCCATAGGCGGGGCCGACTTTGTACTTCTCAAGGATCCCGCTTCTGACTTTGGTCTCGTATATTCATTTCTAGAAGGTAGACTACCTCTGTGTGGATGAAGTTTGTGAGATATATCAGATACAAAGTCTTTGGATGCTGCTGCTATTACACGACCCATCGAATATCCATCAACAGTGGATTCTTCTCTGTCGGATTCGCCTAGACGAGATGTACCGTCACTAGTGTCACTATCTCCAGATGAGAAGCGGCTGTCCTCAGGAAACAACATATCAAAATTATTGTCTGCGTATGACGCACGGCGTCCAGTCGGAAACTTGGGGTTACAATCCTGCTCGTTTTCAATGTGTGGGTATAGTTTAGGTGATGGTAAAGAAGCGGCATGCTTCTTATCCCTATTAAGTGAAAAGAGACTCGCAACGCTCATACGACGAGGCTTTTTGGGTTTGATCCAAGGAATACCATGCGGGCCAACCGGCTGCGTGGGGCTAGATGGCTCGGAGCCTCGATTAAAATTATGTCCTGACAAACGGCGTTGTGATTGCAGTGCATGTAAATAATTATTTGCATCTGATTGTCCTTTACTACTCGATTCGCCATTTGCATTTAATTGTGATAAATCAGGCGATGACTCATTCCTCTTTGAAAATGAAAAAGATCGTAATCGTCCTTTCATGGTAGGCTTCAAACTTGGCGATGCAGAACTTCGCTCTGAGATATATCAAAGGGGGTAAGTTCAGTCATAAACAGATCGGTTGTCTTTGAATATTATGATTCGGTTACTCTGAACAATAGTACCTTTTCCCTTGTGGTTTTGATCTAGAGCAGTTGAAGTGGAAAATGAACGTGTTTTGTTTATTCGTTGACGGCCTGTATCTTCGCTCGTGGTCCGCTCGTGTACTTTGAGAGTGTCAAAATCGTCGTCGTCTTCTGACCCCCCGAACAATACGAAATTTAATATGGAGGATGCTCGGCCGCCGCGGGCATGTTCACCTCGATCTGATTTTGGAAGACTTATTGGACCGTCATCTTCTAATACATGGGGCATGTATATACAAGAAAGATTATTAATGTTGGAACGTTGAAACTTGCAAGACGTAAGGCGCAAGTTAGCCCAAAATCTTCCCGTACTATTTAACTATCGACGTATTCTACCTGTAAACTTATACACAACCCCGAGCATCCATATTGGACTTGACGAATACGAGTGCTTCACTCGCGATCTCTCATCAGACTTCATATACTGTACAACACGTGAATTGTAGAACCAATGGCTTTAAACGTGTCCAGATCGAATGTATAAAATAAAAATATTGTGAATAATCAAATTTCTTCTTCTCTAGTCTTTCAACATAAATTCTCCTATAACATAAACCATATCTGCAAATAACTAGATTTTTATTTGGTTTACATAGAATGTTAATTTCGTCTTCTCGTTAATCTCCAATTTTTATTGAATAAGTTATCGCTGCGAGAAATGGTAGAAAGTATAAATCAACTAACCCCATTTTTTGGAATATATCAGAGGAATTTCGATGAGAGTCGGCAAATTCACTAGTTATTTCTTCCCTTCCTATTTCTTCGGGTGGCGAGGGTGTGAAAGGAGACTGAGTGGAGGAGGGAGATTCGGATTCTTCTTCTACAGGGAAGGGGTCAAAGTCATCGACGTTGTCCCATTCATCGTGTGCTGGTCGGGGTGAGGAGGACGGGGATGTGACTATGCGTATTGCTGGTGTTTGTGGTCTTGGTGACTGTGGTGGTGTCTGTGATGGTGTCGGTGGTGTTGCTGTTGTTGTTGTTGTTGTTGCTGTTGTCGTTGTTGTTGCTGTTGTCGTTGCTTGAGAAGTTGATATGATTTCTGATACCTGCACATGGAGGAAATATTAGTTGGGAAAAATGGGCAAGCGTGGAAATTGGCAAATATAGCGATGACTATTCGGTGGGAAGTTTTTCTAACAGATAGTTGAGGGGTCAGCACAGTTGAGAGAAACCTTACCGAGGGTGTGTTCATTCTTGTTTGAATCTTGATCGACTTTGAGGCTCTTTTGCGCAAGATAGCTTCCGCCACCGATTGATTACCCATGCATCAACTTAAGGATTTTTACGAATTTGTTAATGTCGCACAATTGTTGGGCGGAACGTGAAAAATTGATTGGGGGGAGGAAATAAGACAGTTAAGCGCGACAAGGGATGATCATGACATCATCTTCTTTTTCGCTTCTTACCTGGAGCAATTACCATTAATAAAAACTCACCTATTAAGGATTTTTTTCAAGCAAGACAGACAGCCTCTTACATTGAGATCAACAGTGACAACTTTGCAGTGTTACACTTCTCGTCTGATAATGGTAATAATTCTGTTCATTGTTAACCGGTTAGGATGCCAAAGCCTTAAAATCTTATACAGCGCGCCAAATATAGAAATTTAACTGCATCTTCAAAACTATAAATAGTTCTAAAATGCGCGCACGTCCTCTTGCAGTCTTTGAGAGGATGCGTCATATGAATAATTTAGGACTCCCCCTCATAACGATAATGACAAACAATGCTTGATAACAAATACGTGTTAACGATCAGATGTCTTGCTGGCGATTACCCTCGATAAGGGTAAAGTACTTTTCCGACTTTCTGCTACGAAAATTCCGAATCTGATTCGATTCTTGGAATGTAAACATTTTTGTACAAGTGGATTGTTGGTAAAATATCGTTAATTCATATAACAAACGCTACTGCGCGCACCAATTATTATTACGTATTGTTTGTAATTATTAAACGCAGTGTTTATGAGACATTGATGTATTGTAGTTAGTTATGGAAACGAACTATAAAATTTTTATCATTGGTCGAATTCTAAACTTCCTAATCCGTAGGCAAGACGTCATTGACTACGATTATCAGTACATATTAGTTTGCCAGCGGAAAAAGAAAAACTGAAGCCACCGGCTGTGCTGTGATCAACAATGGTGTATTATTATGGCCGTAAATCGTGACCATTTAGAGTTTTAGATCTGCTGCACCTCCCGGAACGCTCTTAGAATTATTATAATCATACCATACAGGAGTCTATACTTTTCAAGAACAATTCATCGAATAGAATATAACCAAACACGTATATTCTCGTATTGATCGCACTTGATGTAATTGATGCTTGCTGCCAGGTTAATCGAGTATATGCATCTCCACTAAAAGTTGATATAGCAGTCGATCTGACCTCGTCCAACTTTGGCCGTTATGGCCGTAACCACTTTTCCGATTGAGCGTTTTCCCTAGTACAATATTCTCCAACTAATTCTATTGGATAGTCGGGGATTTTTAACATATTTGCTGAATCAGAGACTTTGTTAATATCGGAAATATACGAGCGAATTATTGTAATAATTCATAAATGGAAATTACTTGCCCACGGTGGATGTGATTGTAGTATTGTTTACATTATGTACTTTTGTCCTTTGTCATCTAAAATGGTCTCTTTGTTTGTTGTACATAATGAAATTTCACTAGTCAATATTTGTGGTACGAGTAAAATCCGGGGGGAAGGGCGAACCTAGATTAAAGAAGACGCCTAAACAGCTGCGTACATACTTTATCCGTAAAGCATTCAGATCATGAGACTTATAAACGAAATACAGAAGATGTCACCTTTATATAGTTTTGTGAAGCAATCAATTGGTTCCATACGCGCTTTTCGTAGTCTCAAGTTACAATAATAATATCATAACTAATGCATATGATACAGTTACATCTTCATCTATGTATTCTAAGCGAGTACCAAAATCTCTTGGCTGAGTCATTTATCTAATCACGGTTATAGCGACACTATTAATTTTACAGGGCCTCAAGCACTTTTTACAAAATGCATTGGCCACGCTACGAATAACATTAAATTACAAAGTGAAAATTTCCAGCGCTGAACTTATTAAAGTCAGTTGTATCTTGTTCTAGTGAATATGTCTCCAGGCTTCTTTTTCACCGCCGATAAGTACGATCTGAATTAATGTCTTGCGGCAATAGCCTCACTCCTTCCTCTCAAATGATCCTGATAATATCCCTGTTGCGGTTGCAGGTAGTGCGGTTCTCCTACTGGATATCCTGTTGTTGACGAAGGATAATAATCCCGCTCGGCAGGAGGTTGATAAGAATTTGCTAAAGATGGATACAATCCAGATGCATTATAAGCTGGGGTAGTTGATGACGGGGAAGGAGGATAATGATTCGATGGAGAAGGGGGATAATAACTAGCAGATGGCGACGGAGACGGTTGTCTCGCTGGAGATGGTTGTCTTACTGGAGATGGTTGTCTTGCCGGAGATGGTTGTCTCGCTGGAGATGGAGTTTGCGAGAGAGGTGGATATGGCGGTTGGTTCAGTCCTGGTTGTGTTGACTGTTGCGGATATCCATTAGGTGTTATCGGTGATGTGTTTGCTGACTGTGGCAACGGTGGTGTTTGATATCTATTAGCATTCGCAGGATTCCCCATTCCTTGAGTTTGTATAGGCATCAATGGATGCGTCTCTGACTGAACAGACGGAGCTGATTGATTATATGAAGTATAGCCTTGCCCAAAACGGAAAGTCTGCTTCCGAGAAGGATCATCTTTCACTTCAACTACTTCCTCATACACAGCATACTGCTCTACCGGTTTGCTTGCAAAAGCTAGCTTGGCCTTGTACTCTTCTTCACGTCTACGTTCCTCATACGCTTCGCCGCTCATCTCTTTGTTATGCAAAAGATCTACTTTATGTTGTCTAATATGTGCATTCACACGATGTCCTACGTAGAACGCAATGATTGCTATTACCATGAAAATTACGCTCGCAATCATCATGTAGAGACCGTTAGAGTATTTGGCAGTGAATTGGTTCCCAAAATGTTCGGTAATATTTTGGACTACATTTCGATAAGTCAAGTAGTCAGTAACCATGGCGAAGAGCACTACTACTGTTGCTGCTATTGCAGTGCGATAGGCTATTCGTAAATAGCCTCCATTCCTTTTCTCCCTAAAGTGCCCACATGCACCAAGTGCTGTTGTGAGAAATGCCATAATCAATGCTATACATGCGTGAAGTTGGTGAGCTATTAGTACATGATCCCATAACACTGACAATAATGACTGTGAGAATCATTTGCTTACCTGGAAAGTGAACCAAAGACGAATACCCAGATGCGTGTGAAGCGACTTTTATAGTCGCTCCCGTAACATTGACACCATCTTTGGTCAGTACTGTTGTTTCATCTAAAGAACAGTTAAGAAGTAAGTATCAGTGTAATATGGCAAATATAATGACAAACGTCATTTCGCCAACCGAATACAAAACGACTTGTAACGATGTCTATTTTTCAATTGACATGTCCCTTGATCTAAATTCCCAATATTCATCTCTCATGATACATACTGAATAGAAATCCTATCGCAGAATTGGAACATGCAAAATTCTGCCCATCGTTACCCTGAGCGCAATATCCCCAAAGTCCAACTAATACAAAATCAGTACTGTTGTTATTGCCGTCTATTTTTACAAATTGGACACTCTTAATAATAGGGACACTGAGACATGCTGCAAATATCATAAACAGGGAAAGAAAGGCCGACAGCGTGCCGGGTGTTGCCTCCCTCCCAGAGTATGCCATAGGAATAAGTTAAGCAATTTCAAATTACTATGTTCGATTATATGGTAAGGGAAGGTGATTAATACGAGAAAAAGAGTGGTTAAATACCAAAAATTTGAGGGGAGGCACGAAGTAGGAAGGCGGAGTCAAAATAAAGTTAAAATGCTCATGGTCAAGAATGTTGGGTAATTAACGTCTAATTAAGTTGATAAATGAGACTCATACAGCCACGAATTAATAACTGACCAATACCCAAAGCAGAAAATGGGTCGGGTACCTATATCACGTGAGTAATTTCAAAATGTTGGTAAGCCACAAATAGTAACGATCGCTGTCATTGGCAAACCTAATTTCTATTTCTGTGGCTTACAGAATAAAAAGCCTCACAATTATCAATCACTCTTTTGTGCTGGCTTTCAAAACAAAACAATTGCAGCCCAAACAGATTCTTCGATTCACATGAGAATCACAAAAGTGGCGATGCTTTTGCCAAGCATTCTAAAAGCCTCAACAAATCGAGAAAATAGACTAACGCAATATAGACTTTTTAACAGCAACGATGTGACTTCTTGATATCGTGATCGCTTTAATTTAAAACGCAACAAGTCTCGTGTTATGAAGAATGCTAAATATAGCAGAAATCGATAGCAGCAACCCGTAGTGTGTCTATAATCATACAACACGCTATATAATCTGTTGTTCGCTATCAGTCGTGCCGAGAGGGTTTGGCAATCGATTGAAAGCATAATAATATTAGCCTGTGAAGTTTATCTATTAGAGAGGGTATACGGATTAATTTATAATAAATAAGTGACAACCGCCTTAACTATTTTTGCTTGTTAGTATTGAGAAAGAGGACAACGCATTTAATTTGGTAATTTTAGTATTTCAAAAGTAGAAACGAATACATGTCATGATTACAATTGATTCGTTAAATCTTCCAATTACGACGTATTTTTCAGACTTATTATGTAAGACTTTTTCGAATGTATTTCTTTTTGTAAATAACAGACGACGATATTTTTGATCAAATGTGACGAATGTGTCATAATTACGTTTTGTTTCCTATGTGTTTACGTAGGGTCGCTTTTGAAATAATGTTTTCTTGATGGTATATGTGCATGGTTTTGCAAAAAGAAAAAATTTTGTGCTATATAAAGTTTTTTAAACTGGTTAGAACTTTTTTATTTCAATCGCCAAGATTTGAATGTTACAGCAATACTGACAATGAAACGTTTGTAAATCATCTGAATGAAACATTAACATCGAAAATAGATCGACCATGGGAAATATTTTAGTCTGTTACTTCTGATAATAATAATATGATAAATGATACTCATAAACCAGCGGTTATAGTTAATAAAAAAAGAGACTTAGGCTCCTGTTTCAGATAAAATAAAGCACGGCTATTTATAGTATGTAACAAAAAAATAAAATATTTCTCTGTTTTGTAGAAACGTGTATAAATAATCCAATTTTAATTTGCATCATTGAAAAAAAAAACATTCGACGTGTGTTTTTCGTTTATAACACACGTAATTTCTTTCCCTAATTTTGAAAACCTTTTATTCAAAAATGACTTCTGCTCAAGAAACACAATATCGAACTATATTGCATTTTTAAAATCAAGGCATAACCAATGACCAAGAAATATATAGGAGTACAAATATACCTCTTGCTACAATTTATAATAATTTAAAAAAACGGAAAGTGTGGCTTGTGCAAGAGAAAAATGGTCAGTCAAAGCAGATTGCTGGTGAAGTATTGAAGGCATTAGACAGTATTAGTATATCTGAAGATGTATTACTTTTTCAAGCAAAACTTTGGTGATTATGTTAACTAAGAAAAACATTGATGTCTCTCACTGATCCAAAAGCATACCAATGGCTACACCATAACCAATGCTCACTGAAGAAATGAATGCAGTAGGCAAAAAATATCTTATGACTTGCCAGGTATTTTTGTGTTATGACTCATTCTGGTGATTAGTTCCTTTTGCACTGAAGATTCGCAAGAGACAATGTGACAAGAGATCTTGTAAAGCATCAGACAAATGCCATAATCGCTAATATCAATGAATATCATAATATTCATGGTCTGCGGATCTCAGCAACTACGTCAACTAGTACCGTTGCACACATGACTACAGTTCTCGCCATCCCAATACCTAGCGACAGCTATATCAAAATTTGAATTGACCAGTCAGACAAATGTTTGGAGGAATTTCAATCCTTTGTTGACCAACTGCCTATAAATATGCGAATGAGTTTGACGATGTTTTTAAAAACCATTGAAATCATGCCTAGCGATAGTGAAATAATTGGAGTAGTACTCAATAGTAATAAAAAGAAGAGGAAGAGTATAACGAAAGTATAGACTCAAAAATACAAGGGAAATTGGTGAAAAGGTTGAAGTGTGTATAAAGATACAAGAAAAATTGCGGAATGAATTTACCGCCCATTGATGGGTTAAACTCGCCTTATACTAGAGCAGAAATGCGCCACTTCAGAACCCATTTAGTTATTCTATGTATCTAATTATAGAGGGTCGCACGTCAAATCAATGATCTTGTCGATTATACCAACGGCGTTACGCCATTTTTTTGTATGCCGCCTAACTATATCAACTACTCGCCATATGTACTCGATTATAAGTGGACTTTGCGTATCGGTATGTATTAGCAAGTTTCGTATGTAGTGCAGTGTAATTCCTAGTTATATAAGTTAACAATAATAACCAGAAATGGAAATATCAACGAAATTTATGTTATGACGTCTGAGCAGCGAATTTAAAATTTCTGAAAGAATGAATGAGCGTCATTTTGACAGTAAGCTATTTTACCGCTTCCTCCCTGCCGTACTCCAATTAGCTGGGAAAAAACGCTAAGAAATTGATCCTTATTATCATAGAACCAGCAGAAAATCGACCCAAGTATCGGGCTGGTCGAAAACTAACAGCAGTCAAGGTATACACTGTGAACCAAGAATCTCGGTATGTACACGAATTGCCTCGCAGTCGATAGGATAGCACGTTGCAACTACTACGATTTGTATTTATGCCTCGCCTTTTCACATACACAATCCAAACTATTTTTTGCAGCTATTTAGTGATAGAGAATGTGCCTGCGCTTCGTCTCACTGATAAACTTGTCGAACTAGTCTCATTATATGGAGCGGTAGAAGAGTAAGGTCTATGTCATATTTCCTTGTAATGCCATTGCTTTATCTTCTAATCTCTCGTTTGTATGTTCCATATGTTCGCAATAGATACCGACATTTAGATGACTACCCCAGTGAAGAATTTACAGATGTATATTGGATCAAGTTCCGAGATCTTAAAGAAGCACGGTATGCTTTACTGCTTAAATGATTTGGTGTCTCACTGAATACATAAGAATCACAAGTCAAAGGTGTAATTGTAATTTTTCTAAAATGCAGCGCGGCTAAGAAACAACTAGACGATAAAGTATTCTACCAATCTCCTCTTCGAGTCCGCTATGGGCCTGAATATGAAAGCATTGAGGATACGCGGCAAAAGTTACAAGATCGACGAAATACTGTTGCTTTGAAGCTTCGCGGACAGAATTATGAAAATGGTTGGTATTTCTGTAGAGGAAAGGAATTGATTCTGACAAGATTTTCTGATTTTAACATCAATGCGATTCTCGAATCTGAAAATAGATAGACGGAAAGCGGTCGTAGAAGACAAAAACTCTATTGTGTCAGATAGGCCGCCGATTGGACAAATGCAACAGAACATGCAAGCGGACGCACAGCATAATTATGGATATACATCTACATACAATAACGACAGCAGCTACAATTGGAACTATAACTATAATAACAATTATAACTACGATTATACGTATTATCATAATTATAATTACAACTATAATTACAATTACGATTCTAATTATCAATATGACAATCTTTCGATTTCTTCATATCAAAGGTAAACTCGATAAATGCTGTCTTATAATCATAGAAAACTCGATATACTCACATAACTTCAATCATTAGTCAAGAGCCACCGATACCAGGTGTAGGCTACCCATCAGTATCGACGCCAGCGCCAACACCGAGACCAACGCTAACAGCGTCAGCCTCAGCATCGCAGCCTATAGCAGGTAGCATCAGCACTGCGTATAAAGAAGAAACAGATGTCAATTCTTCGTTACCCATCGATGTAAGTCTCGTGCTGTCTTCTCGTTTCTCACCCCATTCATATCATAAATATAATGTCCACTTTCTATTGTTTTAGCCGATATCCTCTACAGTACTTTCAATTCGTCAGAAATTAAAATCTGCATCATCTGTAAAATCGCCGCACTCGTCGCGTAATGAAATTAAGAGTACGAAGGTGTTGGGTAAAGCCTATTATGACAATAAAGTTGAGGACAGCAATGTGCCTAAGCGTCGCAAAAGGATATGACGGGGTTTCGTTGCCCAATGTAATAGATTGCTTGTATATAATAATAATACATTAATAGTTCAATAAAAAATGGGGCATGCTGCAACTGACCAGACAAAGTGAACATTCTATTATGTGACATAAATGGGAGGCTGATTATGATGTGGACTAGTGTGACTGATGACGTAATAATGGTGCTTATTATTATGGACTTGTTAATTTTAATACGATGAATATAAACCATAACAGGGTTACCCTATCACTAATTTACAGCACCGTTAGAAATATTCTAAAGAAAGCTCAAGGAGAAAAAATTGCCCCGTATGTTTTTAAGATCAATGATACCCAAACTCTTCAGGAATATCTAGATCAAGAAAAAATCACTTATGAAGTTTATCAAGGGAAACGGAAATTCAGACCTACTAAACGAGCATTAACACCAGTGGGATTAGAATAAAACAATTTAGAAATTGTCTAAAGACATTATTAAGAAAATTTTATTGGTTTATAGAGCCAATACAGCAATACAATAATATATCAATTATAGGTAGTAATACTTTTGCGTCTAAAATTATTTATTCAAAATAAATTCATGGAGAACCAAATAGCTTACGTATCTTGTTCATAATTTTACACCGATCAAGAATTCTCTCTTTCCACCACCTGCTCGTTGACGCCTAATGCCACTTTGCGAAATTTTTTTGGCGTTACTACATGGTATTACTATTAGATTCACACCAGGCGGAATAAATTCGCTGAATTGAGACTATCGATTCTATTTTCGGGCCATAATAAAATAAAATTAACAAGAAATTAATGGTCGGGATAAACTAAAATTGAGGAAGCAAATTCCCGAGTCTTCGACTCAATGCGATTTAATATCTATTATATCTTCGTCAGCTGTATAATATTCTTTATCAGAACTTGACTTGTACATGCGTTTGGAATGTACAGGGAAACCTCAAAATATATATGTATTTCTGTAAGTAATTTACTTAATATCAACTAGCTAATCTTCGGCCAAAACGTTATTTGCGATCTTGACATACACTTGCGCGGCAAGTTTCATTTGCGTTGTTAACTTGCATAGTTAGGGGCTACATTATCATTTAAAGAATGGCGATAGGTCTTCGACGCATTGATACCATCGATAAGCAGTGGAATGAATCAAGGTTTTGGTTCTTGCAAAAAGTGCCAGACATTTTAAGAGATTTCAAGAAGGGCTTGGGATAACTTTTATCTACAGTTATAGTCACAAAGCAGTTGTTGCGGTTTAAATACTATTATCCAATGTCAAATAAAAAGCAATCACGATGAAGAGTTGGGTAAGATAATCTTGCGACTGCATGGATCGTTTTGGGAGGTATAAAAGCAATGTTAGGAAACGCGAAACCAACTGAAATTGACAATAAAGCTTAAAACTGACTAGAACGTAGTTGCGCATTTTTATTCAGTATCATGAATTTTAAAAAATGACCGCTATATTATATACTCAAATAGTCTACCCTGGGAAAGAAGTCTAACAGTAAACGTCAACTCTTGTTGACACATTTAATATAATACCTAATTGGAAGAGAAGCGACCTCCTTGAGTAAAACTCGTAAAAACAGTAAATAAACCACGAATTACAAGAGCGCTTGTGTCACTAATTATTAGACAATAAAACGATGTTAATATTGTAAATTGACTTTACTTTGTAACCAATCGTTGCTTTCATACCTGAAACTCAATTGACATTTCATAACTA